CAGGAACAATTTTTTAGTGGAAGGATAGCATTTAATGAATTTATTGTTGGTTTAATATTTGTATTGTTTGGTAACCGTTTCATAAAAGCAATAAGGTACTCGAGGCGTGCTATATTGTGAATACAGCACGGCTTGAAGTGGTTGCAGGCATTCCACTTCACAATAAAGCACGGCCTCTCCTTATTGCTTACATATATCATGATAAGATTATGACTGAATTGAAATGCATTACCTTACCTTATAATCATGTTGTAGCTGAAGATCGTTGCCTAAAAATATAAATAAAGTCATTAATCTACATCATGCAGCATTTTACCTTTATTCTTCCATAAATTTTAATGATTTCATTATTTTTTTTTTTAATTAAAAAAAATTCCATTAGCAACTTTAAAGAGCTTATGAAGTTTTTGTTACCTGTACTTTCAATGGAGGGACAGAAACCTCTCAGGTTTCATTATAAATATCTTAATTAATGTTTTGTAGACGAACCAAAGTCTTATGGATTTGGAACGACAAGAAGCAAGAAGCTGAGTAAATAATGACAGAATTTTCATTTTCATTTTTAGGTGTTATAGCAAACTAATAACTGAGAGAGTTCCCTAGTTCACAGCATTATTTGACAGATTGTGAGAGATGTACTGTACCTGATATATATCCAAATGTGGTATTGAATCAAATGGAAATCAAATCAAATCAAGAGCTTGTGAATCAGAATCCAATTGATTTGTGAAATCAAAAGTGTGGTTGCAGACACATGATTTTTCATGATTTGATGAGGTTAAAATCATTGTTATTATTAATCATTATCAACTCTTACCATTAGAATGGATACTTTTAACAATGCAAAATATTCTTAGCGTAGGCCTTATCAACAAATCAAAAAAGTTTAATTGCACTTACTTTTTTTCTTTTCTCCAGGTTCCTGCCCATAAATCTTAGTTACACTGTTGTCTTTATGCTCGGCCATTGAATAGTGTATATCTGTTTACAAGAAAAATACTACTATTTATAAAAATACTAGTGTATAGGTCATTCATGTTTGTTCAGTACTTTGTTCAATACATTGATGCTAATTTATACATCCTAAAATATAAAAAAATATCATATGTAAATTAACGGTATTTAAATTACTAAATGCTGTAAAATATTGCCCATTGTTAGTTCATGATACCAAATGCATTAGCTGATGTTAATAAACCTTGAACCTTATTGCAAAGAGTTACCAGTTAATTTAATTCAACCTGCTTCATCTAGGAGAACTGGCCTACCTTGATCCGGGAAATACTGATTGCTAAGGCTCAAAAAACCTAAAAGAAAGGAACAAAGTCAAATAAGAAAAATTTCAGAAAAGAAACAGTTAAAGCCAAGTTCCAAGACAGTAACAGCCAAGAACCAAGACAACTAATGAACAAAGTACTTACTTGGCACAGTTAATGAATAATCATGGGAATTAGAAAGAAATGAGTATGTCGAGCCAAAGAGGTTTTGTGGCCCAAAGTCAAATGGTGGATAGTGATCCTAAAGTTAGCCTGCTGGAGAAAGAAAAACAAAAATATTTATACATACAACACACTATAGGCCAGCCTTCATTACAAACACACACAACTCAAAACAGTCAACGTAATAATTCAAACATCAAATGGAAAATAAATAAATCTCTTTATGTACTTTTTAAAGATGTATGTACTGTAAATAATAAAACAAACTGGACATTTTGCCAAAATTCAAATAGGCCTACTTTTACACATGTCCGTCGCTAGGGGGAGAAAGGTGGCCTGGGATACCTTAGCTACACATACATACACAAATTAATTGATGTAGCTGTAACAATATGGCAAAATTGAGCCAGAAGACTCAAATAAGAGGCTGAAATCAGATTAAATTGATTAGTCTCTAAAAAAAAAAAAATCCTGTTCATTTTTGTTACATTTATTTTGTTGAATTTTGATGTTATGTGTAACAAAATGTCTTTCTCTGTGTTCAGGTTTAACTGTAGTAAAATTAATGCAAAAACTGACACTTCAAACCAACATTTAAAAAAAAATCAAAACCTTCTCTTTGATAATATCTATCTATCTATCTATCTATCTATATATATATCCAAATCCACAACTTAATAAAAATAAGTATTTATGTCTAAAAACAACTAGAGAACCAACATTTAAAAAAAAATCAAAACCTTCTCTTTGATAATATCTATCTATCTATCTATCTATCTATCTATATATATATCCAAATCCACAACTTAATAAAAATAAGTATTTATGTCTAAAAACAACTAGAGAATTTATAAGCCTTTTTATATAGCGCTATATGAATCTAGTGGTTAAACCATGGAATTGAAGATGTTTTTCTTTTTTTACTCCCACCAGATGGCAGTAATCTTCCTTCAAAAACTGGATTGTAAAGATATTGGGCACATTCAAGCACAAACCGGTGCGCAACGTTTTGCTACGGTTTCCGGGTTGAACGACATGTTTCCTGGAAACGGTGTGCAACAGGGTTTGAGATACGTTTTCTCTTGTTTGGTGGGTGTGTAAAAAATGTCAGCCCAATCAGCAGAAACATGCATATAAACCACGCAAAGACAGCTCGCACAATGGGTCCAAGTAAAGTCGGTTACAAATGTGTCCGCTGCAGCTCGGTATACGCAACAACTGAAGATATTAGAAGACATGTTTGTTGTAAGAGTTTTATAGTAAAAAATATACCATATCAACATAATGATGTAGTTGTTTATATATTTTTAGCTTCATTGCAAGGCAAGTTTATTTATATACCTGGGCTGCATTCAGCCCCGACAAAACGGTACAAAACGTTTTTTAAACGGAAACGGATGACCTTATTATTTTTATTGTGAGTATTAGGCTTATCATTATTGCTGATCACTGTTGTTGTGCTATGTTATTGTAATATTTACCCTTATATAATCAGAGGAATAGGCTATAGAAAAGTTCATGAAGAAAAAAGTAAGAACTAGAAATAAAATAATTTAAATTAGAATTGATTACCAGGAAATACAAAAGATAATTAAATGGGGTGCGGGGGTGTTTAGTCAGTAGTATGGGAGTATGTGAGTGGGAATTTGTAAGTAAATGTAATTAACAAATACCGCGTGGTTTATATACATGTTGTTGCTGATTGGGCTGACATTTATGACACACCCACCAAACAAGAGAAAACGTGTCTCAAACCCTGTTGCACACCATTTCCAGGAAACATGTCGTTCAACCCGGAAACCGTAGCAAAACGTTGCGTGTGCTTTAAGTGCTTTACATAAAAATGAGAAAGAAAATGCAAGGTATTAAAAAAGTAAGAACTAGAAATAAAATAATTTAAATTAGAATTGATTACCAGGAAATACAAAAGATAATTAAATGGGGTGCGGGGGTGTTTAGTCAGTAGTATGGGAGTATGTGAGTGGGAATTTGTAAGTAAAAGGGCAGTGACTGTAACATCGAGTGTATTTTGCAGTATTAAACACGTATTTATACCGATTTCATCAGGCTCCGAAAATTCTTCAAAAAGAACACAAAGAATGGCCTTCTCAGCTGCCATAGTTGCAACTCTTGCGTAATCAGAACAGGATGTTCAACGCACCATCGTTTCTGTTTAAAAAACGTTTTGTCGGGGCTGAACCGAACGCAGCCGTCGTCTATTAAAAATTAGAAGAAAAAAAAACTAAAACATTTTGTATTCTTTTCAATGGGGAAAATTTTTTATCATAATTATCGCATATAAATATTGATTAGTACCATGAAATTCTCTCAAAATATTATTGAACAAAAATATATCACATTGATTTTACTGAAAAAAAGTTAAATTTCAGGGGTTCTGTCACTTTTGACCGCGAACAACACAAGTTGACCCCCAAATGAACAATACCAGAGTGTTAAATGAATATTTTCGCCACATTTAAGTGTTTGAAATGCGGAAGTAAACTACAGCAGGGTAACCCCCATAAAGACAGAAGGGAGACCACAGTAAATAATTTTTTGTTCGTTCTCGACCAGCAAAATAAAATTCCGCACTTAAGTTTCCACGACTTTCCAGCGGTTAAGACATAAAGTCTTAAAGTCAATACATAAAGTAAGCTATTTTTTAAATGAAAATGTTAAAAACAGTGCTAGATTTATGTTAATCGTTGCAGAAATATGCTATAGCCTAGTATTTTGTTCTTGTATGTAGAACTCATTGATTTACCTTACAGCTTCAGATTTCTCCACAAAGTGAATTTAGATCTTCCTGTCTCATTGTATTTTCAACCGTCTTGAAACCACACCCACAGGTAAAAATGAAAGTGAATAACGGAACTATATCCTGAACTAAATCTAAAATTTTGTTTTGACGGCCGCGCTTTGTTTATTATTATTATTTTACTGTTAAAGGTAAAAAAAAAACTATTATATATAAACTGAATATATATGAGTGCCAGTATGACCTTGTAATGTGGGATCGATGTTTTGTTATTATTACTAAATGCCTCTATTTAAATGTCACACTTTGTCCTAAAATGAATATCTTTGCATTCCACTGTACTGCTTTTCATTTAATATAACAGTATAAGTTACATATAACAGTATATATAGTGCGATAAAAAGTTTTTATTTTTATTTTTATGAAAATACTAAAAACGGCTAGATTTACTATAGCTGCAGATAACATATCTTTGTTCTTGGATAAACAAGAGTTACAAGTTTAGTAAATCCAACATTTTGTATATGTTCTAAGCCAGTGTTTCCCAACCCTGTTCATGGAGGCACACCAATACTGTACGTATTTTCAATCTTTTCCAAATCAAACACACCTGAATCAACTCTTCAGCTTGATAATAGAGACTCCAAAACCTGAAAGAGATGCAAATAAGGGAGACATGCAAACTGTGTACTGCTGGTGTGCCTCCAGGAACAGGGTTGGGAAACTCTAAGTAGTATCAGATAAGCACACAAGTGAGAGAAACACATTCAGGAATAACTAATGGTTCACAACTGCACAGTTTTTTATTAAGCCTAAATATGCTTTCTTTATTTTTCTGTTATATTTGTACAATTCACACAAATGTTACCACCAGGTCCAACAAAGGACATCTTTGTTAAGACATGATGTTACAGCAGCTTAAAGATGATTTCAAGTAGTTCCGTCAGCCTAGAGGTCATTCTACTGAAGTCATTATCCTACGGAGAAGAAAGAGAGAAATGTAGATTTCAGTCAATAAAAAAGTTCATGTATATGAAATTGTTAAGACTCCTGTCATTAGTAACATTTGCAAGCCCAAGTGAAACTCACCCTTTTGGCCGTGCAGTGGTGGAAAACATATTCAATATCCGAGACAAACTCTTGCACTGTTCGATAATCATTATTCTCCAAGTTCAGCTTCACTCTGCCCAGCATCATGGGACCACAGATGTTCTCACTGAATCCTGGAACCTAGACACCAGCAGTGTAGCCATCACATACTGTACATATACACCACATATAAGAGCTGCAAATAATGACTAATAGGGAAATGAAGTAATAAATATGAAGTCAATAAATATGAGATTTACTTTGGCACAGGGGTCGGTCATGCTCTCGTGTAGCAGGTGTAACAGCAGGTACTGGCAGTGCTAGAAGAGAATTAAACAGACTGTAAGTGTTAAATAATTTTTGTCTATAAAATGAAAGAAATGTTGTTTTGGACCCCATTTACTTCCATTGTATGGGCTAAAAAATTGCAGAAACTTTACCAGTGTGTACTGAGAGACTGGACTGCTCAAAATATCCTGTTGGGTCTTTTGACTGGAACTTTTCATCTTCTTCATCACACAAAACGTGCAGCTCCACTGGCTTCTGTACACACAAAACACACACCATTACACAAAGTCAAACGTCTAGTCTGTCTAATCCAGCATGATTTCTCTCTCTCTCTCTCACCCAGGTGAGTCTTCATGTACAGATGGTAGGTGACAGTGTGAATGAAAAGCTCGTGGACATTCATCACAACACATGAGATCTCCCTCAGAGGGACACACGAAACACACGTCATCATTCTGCTGGGACAAGAGTTCATACAGAAATAAAACTATACTGTTATGAAGCACATTGCAGAAATAATTTCAAGTGTCAGTAGTTGTGATGAGTTTTGGTGGTCTTTGTTGATGCTTTGGCATGACTGTAAATGTGAGTGACGATGTCTTACTTGGTTCTGATCCGGTTCTTGGCAGATCTCACAGTCACAGTTGGCTGTATGTGGTTGCAAAACGCTTTTCTGAAAGTATGTGAAAACACATCAGTATTGTGTACTGCAAAAACATTTGATCAGACCCTGTCATGACAACATACAGCATTTTTTCATGCATGGTATGAAAAAAAAAATATTATGGAAGTCAATGGCTACCATTGACTGTTTGGTTACCAACTTTCAACAGATGAAAAAAAAAAACAATCATATAGCTTTGGAACAACTTCAGCGTGAGTAAATGATGACAGGAAACATCACGTGTTATCTTGTGTAATCTCTGAACTTCTCCCAGGTTTTTTTAGGATTTAATACAAATGTAAAACAATGTTAAAGGACCTTCATGGGGCTATCACGCCACAATGTGATTGCCTTGTTTGTTGATAGCCACTGTTTGTTTCTCTGAATTTCATCAATTTAAATTTGAAATGTTCAAAATTCAAAATGTAAATGTTCTTGTTTACTATTTAGTATTTTCTTTTACCGTTATAAGCTTCCCAAGAGGCATCCCATTGGACAGAATGTCTTTCTTCCATGTTCCATCTGGTTTGCTCAATTTGATGAAATCCTCAGGCGTCAGCCAGTGGTTCTCTGTTCTTATGCATCTCCCACAATACCCTGAGATAAAGACAATACTGAGTGTAAAAGTCTTGTACCACTGCAGTCAAGCAGTGCATTTACATGCATTGTCATTAAGTGAGAGAAAAAACAATACGGGACTCTGCCTACAAATACCCTGATAGCGCCTCTTGTGGAGGTATCATCTAAAAAGGTGCAGCGAAAGGTAAAGGTATTTCAGGTTTTGCAGAAATGTAGGCAGAGTCACATATTTCCAATGAGCCTGGCTTGCAAGAAACAGATAACTTGTGTTCAACATTTTTTAGTTGTGCGTGTAAAACACTGACAACATAATATTTATAATAACTGTTATAAAAACATTCCCACTCACAGACCTTTGGAAAATCGATATTTGTGTAGAATGCCAGAATCAGAACCACAGGTAACAGGTAGGACTGGACCTTCAAACATGTTCATGTCAATAGCGTCATCATCATCATCATTGTCTTGATTGTCTTCGATCTTATCGGGTGATTCTACAACAAATACACAAATATTCACTAAACAGAATATAAAGTCTTTCTTATTCTGAATAACTGTTGCAATGATCTTATTTAAATGAATATTTCTCCAAAAAATAAAGAAAATTAGTCCCCATTTACCCTGTTTTTCCAAACCCACATGGCTTTTTTCCCCCTGCAGAACACAAAAGGAGAAATTTTGATGAACATCTTGGTCACAATTTGAAAGCTTTGGCCTAGAAAGGTTAACTCCTCATCAAATCCTATCTACAACGATCGAAGAGCAGCCAAACCTTTGCATCCTGAACACTGCTTTTTTTAAAGGATGTATATAAAAGAAATCCATCCTATGAACAGAAAAAGAACTAAGTTAGAATATGTCATAAATGTATTTATATTATCTGCATCGTGTCCATTTTTATTTCAGGTAACTGTTATTTGTTTAATTTGAGTTTCTCAAATGATTTACTAATAGATCAGACTCACCAATCACCAAGGCCATATTAACCAAAAAAAAAAAAAAAAAAAAAAAAAAAGGGAAAAAGGAAATCATAATTGCACTTGAGTGTGCATTAGTTAAAACTATTATTGAAACCTGCATGTCTTATGCACCTCTATGAGTTTCTGGAGTGGAATCCCTTTGCAAAGGATGCTGGTCTTCCACTTTTTGTGCCTCTCCTTCATCCCAAACCTCTCAAACTCAGTGGGCTTGAACCACTGGCCCTCACTGAAAATGCACTTCTGCTCTAAAGACAGAAAAACGATTTATTCAACCACTACTGGAATGACATGTTTTTGAGCACCTGGATGTTCTGAATGCTCCAGAATTACAATCTTGAGACATTCAAAAACGTGTCGCTCTTCATTAACATCACTCCATTCTTTAACATATAGAAATGTTTCTGCACCTACTATCATAATATTTCTTCAAATACAGGACACCCTCTTTACAGCCACATGTAACAGGAAGTTGAGATTTGTTTTGAGTGTTTTTTTGTCCTGCGGATGATTCTGAAACAAGTAAAGTCAAAATCAGTTAGGTGAAGAAGAAAAAACTTCTCAATAACATATTAGGCAGTGTAAAATACACATTTATTGTCAATTCTTGATTTAATGCTGTTTTGACATTACATTAGTAAAAAAAAAAAACTTTCTGGACTCACTGGGGCAGTTTTTTCTCTTGGCTTGTTTCTTCTTCTTAGGTTTAGAATGGGAGGACGACCCCATCTGCTGTCTCTTCGTACAGCTTTGTTTCTTCATCCTCCTTTTTTTTATTCCTAGTGGTGGAAAGAGTACTGAAAAATTTTACTTAAGTACAAGTACTGTTACATTGCTGAAATAATACTCAATTACAAGTAAAAGTACTGGTGTCAAAACTGTATTTAAGTAAAAGTACAAAGTACTCCTCTCAAAAACTACTCAGAGTACTAGTTACTAGTTACTTTTTAGCCTGCGATATTTAATGAATTACCAAAAAATATTCATTCATATCAAAGCTCTATGTGAACAATAGCTACTTTGAACAAAACCCATTTTTATCTTATTGACAAAGTACATGAATTAGTGGTCATGATACAGGAATTTCTAACTTCAATAACTTGAAAAATATCAGTATCAAAGTACCCGTGAACCGGAAGTTAAACTGACTTCAGTGTTGTGATGTATTTCCAAGTGAAACGGAATGTTGACTAAAGGGGCGGGGTTTTATTGTGGTGCACCTCCACTCCACCTCTTGCTCATAGCAGATTCACGGTTGGATAGGAATAGTTAAGAATATCTGCTTGTTACTTCTGATATCACGCTTCACCGCTTCTAGGTCCTAACGCTCTGCCAGATGCCCCCCAAAAAACAACAAACTGTGCATATACACACTCACGATGTCATGTAATACTGAAAAATTATAACCCTAACCTTTATCTCCATAATGAAATCCGATAGTCTGACAGTGATTCAGCTAAAATATTAGTGAGCAAATCTGAGACACTGTGAGCACGGAGACTGAAGTGTGCACAGCAAATTTTTAAATGCTTAGCTTAAATATGTAATTTCAAGTGAAATAAGTAGAGGCATGGACCCGGAAACAGCAGTCCTTACGTCATGACTTAACAAGAGGATACTCCCCAAGCCGTCAAACTGACGTCATCAGAGCCAGAACGCCAATCCAGAGTGGAAGCGACGGCAGACCTCTTTTTTTTCCAGTGCATTGACTTGCATGGTTCAATTGTTCACCACAAGACTAGCAATGCACACTAAAAAAAGTAGGGTCATTTTTTATTTCATGACGACTAATCTTTGTCAATACCATTGGCAAAACTACCACATACTGTATACTGCCATATAGATATTTTAACAAAAATTTTGTCCATCC